GTGTAAACAAGCAAAGGATTTAGAACAAATGGTGGCTGCTAATGAACCAAAACTATTTGAACTTGAACAAAAATTTTACGAACATCCTCCTCCTCCAAACGCTCATGTCAATGGACATACTTCTGGTACAATGATCGATAAAGATGGAAATCAATCTACTGGCTATAGTAGAAGATTGACAGATGCAAGTGGAACACCACGTTTTCAATCAGAAACATCGAAACTTGAACAAAACTATCCAAATGTAAAATCACTGTTGAGTCGACCACTCAATGCTTGTGCTGAACATATGGCTTATGAAAATATATCAAATCCCATCATTATTTATGCAATTCAAATAAAAAATGGTTTAGTATTCTGCGTTAAACGATGTGAGAATTGTGAGCAATTTGATCTCAGAAACGTTATTACTGATTCAATGCATGGTACACTTGTTCCATTTCTAATTACTGAAGTACCACCACCTGGTTCTTATGTTAGAGCTGACATATCTGACATCATTGTTATTAGTGTGGCAAATAGAGAAAGAGAAGAACGACGTTGAAAACTGTTGGACTATTTGATCTCCTTCAATATGTTGTGCTTTTTCTTATAACTTGATTTGCAAAAATAAAAGATTTAATCTCCACGAGAAAGAAGAAAAAGCGTTTGCCAAACGGGAGTGAAATGAAGATTGTTAGAGAGACCTGAGAATCATGTAAATCATTGCGAAAGGAAAGGTGTCAGTGCGGGCAATTAAACAGTAATCACATCCACACTCTCAAGATTATATTTATCCATTACTCACATCAAAAACTACATAGATACTGACATTTACATCTAGAATACCCATATCTCCAAGGATATTCATAAATATAGTAGGATAGTACGGGACATTTTCTCGGTTTTGCATGAAAGTAATAGGCGAACATGAAGATTTGAAACAGAAAAACTGATCATTTTTTTCGGAGCTTTATAAAAAAAAAGAAGTGAAAAGAGGCTTTTCCCAATTTACTGTCGGTTGTTGGCTAAGAATCGAGCTACAAAGTCGGTATCATGCAATATTCATTACATTGTAAATGTTAATACGTTTTATTATTTTATACACTGTGTTTTTCAAATAAAAAGGGAGATCAGAAGCTATTCTGGGACATATCACAACAACAACATAATAATTCGCATAAACAAGTCATACACGCGCAGGCTCCCAAACAAAGCATCATTTCTTGACAACAGGAACCCTGATTTCCGGACGTTTGTTGTCCGTAGTTTGAAGGCCCCATAGGCGTATTAGTAGTCCATGGAGAACCATTAGCCTGGTTTGGCTGATTGCCATAATAGTTTGGTTGATTAGGATAATTATTTCGTTGATTCGGAGGATAATTTGGTTGATTACCATAGTTATTTGGTTGATTGGGATAATTATTTGCCTGATTGGGAGGATAGTTTGGTTGATTACCATAATTATTTTGTTGATTGGGATAATTATTTCGCTGATTCGGAGGATAATTTGGTGGATTACCAGAATTGTTTGATTGACTGGCATAATAGCTTGGTGGATCATCATAATTATAATTTGGATCTTGCTGTCTTGGTTGTGGAGTAGTCATATTTGGATTCTTTCAACAAAATACTATGATGTACTTTTTTTATGCTTCAAGATGAAATGATTGCTGTTCGACAACGCATACAAAATGTTGCAATTGGCATAGCACTTCACAAACGTCGAAAATTGAAGCAGAAAAAGAAAAAATACATTTGTTTGTTGAAAAAAAGCCATTCATCATGCACGAAAGAATGATTGCGATGAAAAATATCCACGGTTCAAGACAACATTATGCTGATACTCTTTCGATTCCTTTTGCTTGAATAAGAGTGCCCGACAACGAAAAAAAGAAAAAAAAAGAGAGAAAAGGAAGAGAAGCAATGACAGCAAACAAAACAGGTATGAATAATTAAAGCAATATGATCGCATGTAAAGGCGTAAATGTGTTCTTTGTTGATATAAAGAGAACAATCTCATCTATACCTATCCACACGCACCCTCAAGATAATTGTCCTATTTTTCTCTCATTTTGGAAGGTCTTCTTATGAACAAACGCTTATAAGATTTTGATATGTTCACTCTGGTATATAGAACAAGAATCTGCATTATCCATATTGAATTATTGCTCGATTGTTAGATCGACAGAACGAAAGCAAAATTCTTTCAAGTATGGACGAATGATTAATTTATCTTCGTACGAAACGAAGTGAAAAAGGAATAAAATTTGAATCGACTAATTATTGGAACTTAGCTATTGTATATCATAACCAATATGAAAATAAATTAACTTGATTATCTCAGTGAGTGACACTTCCTACTCACACATACTTCATGAGATGTCCAATTTGACTTATAATATAAATGAACATTGAGAAGACTCTTCTCATTTTGAAAGTAGATAATTAAACAAACTATCAATATATTGATTTATATCATTTACATAGACATTTCTATCAATGATAAATGGATTCAAAAAACTTTTGTTTTTTTCTTTCCTCACCTACAGTAAATTATTCATTTGTCGCATTTATATAAGTTATAAATAGGTTTCAAAAAAAAA